TTTCGAGTTCGTACGAGTGATACTTTTCTTCTTCCTTTGCAGTCTGTCGGCTGAAGAAAAATACTGGCTTTAGGTTGCCATCTTCCTGTTTTTGTAACAAAATTCCACCAAGCCCAATTTCCGAAGCATCGGTGTGGACCTCTGTTTCTAACCCAGGGTCATATAGGGCAAGTATAGATCTCTTGATCAAAACTCCTCTAAGTTTCGCAAAAGCACCATCCTGCTCTATACCCCAGTCAAATTGTACATCCTTTTTGGTAAGGGAGGTCAAAGGACGGGCAATTTGTGCAAAATCTCTCACATATTTCCTGAAATAGCTGCATAGACCGATGAATTGTCGAATCTGATGCACATTTTTTGGAACAGGAAATTTATCTACTGCAGAAATCTTCGAACTACCGGGTCGGATACTGGCAGCACTAATCTCATGTCCTAAATAATCAATTTGCTCCTTAAAGAAATTACATTTTGACAGTCGCAAAGTGACACCTGCATTTGGGCAGGTTTCAAATACATCCCCAAGAGCAACTAACCCAGACGCAACACTAGGAGAAGAGACCAAGATGTCATCCATGTATGCTAAGGCAGTAGAAAATCTCATGGAGCCTAGGACCTAGTTAATCGTCCATTGAAACACCGCTGGAGTATTTACTAATCCGAACGGCATCCTTAAATATTCGTAGTGACCATCAGGAGTTACGAATGCTGTTTTTTCTCGGGAGTTCTCCGTCATTGGTATTTGGTGGCAACCGCTCGCCATGTCCAAGATCGTAAAATACTTGCATCCACACTTGCATCCCTTCAAAATCTCTAAATGGTCGTCCACTCTTGGAAAAAGATAACAGTCTTTCATTGTTTTGGCGTTAACAGCGCGGTAATCTACGCACATGCATGTTTCACCAGTTTTCTTCTCAACCAATACAATTCGACTTGAATAAGGCGATCTGGACTCTTGTATAATATCGGCTGTCAGTAGTTCATTAACTATTTTGTAAACCTTCTCCCTTTCATGCATAGACAGTCTATATGTCAGGATTTTCACAATTTAAACGAATTTCCATTTCCGCGGATCCAATGTGACATTTTGAATTAATTGTTACCTTATTTTGACTGCGATTTCCGCCGCTTTCTAATAAATGGTTGACCAAATCTTCCAGTTGTCGAATTCGCCTCTGCGAATCACTTTCAGGCATGGTAATTGAACCACTACTTTGTGGTGATGATACGTTTGCATCTGTAGCCTGTTTCTTCTAAACCTGCTTGTTGTTGCGCTTGCTTCGACTGAAGACGTTCCATAACAACACAAGGAGGAGTTAAACTTCTCAACCCAGGTGCTTGAAGAAAATTTACTGAAAGACCTTCCTGAACATTTCTTTCGTTATTTTTGTCCTTTTTTGTCAAACAGCTACTATCTCGAGTTTTATCAGTTTTCTTGAACTCTCTAGTTGTTCTTTTATAGCGTCCAGCACAGTCACTACTTGTTGACGAGCTGGTTGAATCGCTTGAACTGCTTCTACGCCTTTTATTCTTCCCCATTTTCCAAAGTATGACGCACTCAAACTCTAACAAGCTGGCACAAATAAACACTAAACCACAACTTCAAAAAGTTACAAAACACAAGTCTATTCCGGTGGTGCAGATATATTCCGCCGCTGCAATGTAACGATTAAATAATACACAACGTATAATTAAAGTTAAAAAAAAATTGATATATTCACTTAACAACAATAATTAGCAAAGATATATTTGAATATTATTTCGACCAAATGTCTAGAATGCTAACGTAAGACTGACGCCTCTTACTCATAAGAAAAACCACTCCCTGAAGATGCAAATCCTTTTTCAAAATTCGTTGTATCGTACTGCGACTGATATTTAATTCCTGGCCGAGTCGAAGAGTTTGGATGTTCGGTAACACTGGCTCTCATGGCGGCGATGTTCACGGCAGACCTTCCAAGACGACGATGCTTGTCTCGTCTTTCAGTGAAAATGTCCGCTCAGATTTGTTGATCAAATTTTCAACATTGGGCCGCGACGGACAATTATCTACGTCGAAGTGTTCACGTAATCTGCGCATTGTCACTGTAAATTTTTCTTCATTTCTATAATGACTTTGAACGTTCCTCAAGAGTGTAACGCGGCATTTTAGTATGCTTGTTTTTGTTTTGTTTTCACCGTTTTCACCGACATACAGAATTGGTGCGCGATTTGAAAATTCAAGTTTTTATTGAGCCACCCTCTATTTATATTTGGTAGATACCGATAATTTAATTAGGAAAATATTAATCCTCTCGTAAAAAAGTCAGCTGTTCGATGTTACCAAGCGAAAAAAAAATGTAAATTAAATCGTTTTAAATTCATCAATACTTACTTGAAAGCCCCGAAAGTGAAAAAAAACTCCATTAATTCCAGGGCCTAAGAAAACGTGATGTCAAGAAAGTCTAAACGTGACCAACGTTTATAAAGCTTCCTCGTTCGTCTCTCGAAGAATAAGCGGCTGACTTAAATCAACGTCATTTAAATGTCGATAGCAACGTTTTTTTTTTTTTTGCTTTTTGCACCATTAACCTAGACCTTTTTTTCGACCCAAAAAAATAGCCAATTTTTGAAAATCCGAAAAATTGCCCTTCGGCTTAGATTTCTAATATAAATATCAAACACAATCAATCACCTGAAACTGATTGAGTTCTAATTCCATTAACTCCGACGTCGTTCCAGAGACTTGACGTTTTCGCCGGCCCATTTGTAACCGTTTCCCTTCCCTATCTATTGCCTTCGACGATTTCCTTTCCCCTCTATACTTATGCAAATTAAGACAAATGGGTAATCAATTTCGAACCTACCCCGTCGCGCTTTATTAGGCTGCAGATTATTTCTTTTGGAGGAGGAAGTTAGAGGGAGAGATTTGATTTTTGAAATCAATTTTCATGAGTTTCCGTTAAAAGGAATTTGATGTTGGTGTTTTAATTTTGAGAAAAAAATTAGCTCGTTTACTTCTTCGATTTCTGTTGATTAGAAATTTACATTCCAACCTTTTTATAAAGTTTGTGAGGCTTTCGCGGCCCAGGTTATGGCCGACGTAAGTTAGAATTTCTTCCTGACATTTCGCTAGCACGCGTGGCTAGCATCTTCAGAGGTGCTTCCATGTCCGATTCTGGTAGCAGAATGACGCGTTTCCGACATCAAGTTGTATTTATGTGTGAGAGGTTGTGGTGGGGGAGGGGCGGGGCTACGCATCACGTGGCTAATCTGAACTTTCTCTGTACTCAATGGGAACTTTTTCTGTACTCAATGGGATCTTTCTTGCGTTTTTGAGGATCGGGTTCCAAATTTAGTTAGGTTTTAGAATTTCTTCTTTTCTGTTGAAGTTCTCCGTATGTTTGTGGATTTCTATAGCTTCACGTACAAGACGATTGCGGTAACCGGAAGTCGGTGCAAGAAGCTTGACCTCACCAAATAGTATTTCGTGATTTCCTTCACTAAACGCATGTTCCGCTACTGCCGATTTTTCCAATGGCAGCAAATATCCAGTTAAATTCTCCAAAATTTTGGCGGTAAATGTCAATAGTTTTAAACCGTTTAAATTAAGTAGAAGGAAAGATGACTACAATATGAACAATGGACAATGAATAAATTAAAATATCTTCCAAAGCATTCAGTGGCCCTTAGAGAATATTTTTAAAATTGTCATCGTCAGCTTGTCTTGAAACCACACATCAGACTCAACTTTTGAGGATAAAATTACCATCATTTTTTTACGCGCCAAAATTTAAATAGCTCCAAGTACAGAAGCGCCCTCTTCAACTCAACTGTCAATATTAAATGCCATTGTCCTAGTTTGCAGTTTCTTCTGTGCTCGTTGTTCCTGGTTCCCATGGATCTTTTTGTTGTTCCTATGTATACCTTACCACATATGCATGGTATACGATAGACTTCAGCGCTTGACAGTGGGTTCCTCTTTTCCTTGGCTGTCATTGATTGATGTATTTTCCTTGTTGGCTTGAAGATCTTCTTTATGTTGTGTTTCTGCAAGACTTTCGCTATCCTGTCTGTCACCCGAGAAATGAAAGGCAGATATGCATTAGCCACTACTGATTATTCATCCACGTTTTGTCATGTGTCCGTTTTGGGTTGCATGGCCCTGTTGATTTCAGATGCATTGTATCCATTTTATAGAAAGGCCTACTTGAGGTGATCCGGAGCTCGAGATGTTGTGGCTCGCTGCATGTTCTGTTAACGTTGTTATTATTTCACGTTTTTGCCTCGGATGGTGGTTTGAGAGTGCATGTAGGTACCTGTCTGCGTGTGTGTGGTTTTTTGGTACAATGTGTGGCGTAGGTTTCCTCCAGATTTCCTTATGAGTACATCTTAGAAGGCGATTTCTTGGCTTTTCTCCTTTTCCATGGTATGCTAGGATGTTGTGCGTTCAGGTGGCCTAGGAACTGGTTAAGCTTCTCTTCCCTATGACTCCAAACCACAAAGGTATCATCTAAATATCGAAGCCATACTGTTAGTTTGTGGTCAAAAGATTCGATAGCTTTTCTCTCGAAATCCTCCATAAAGAAGTTGGCTATATCCGGGCTGAGCGGACTTCCCATAACTACACCGTCCGTTTGCTCGTAGAAATTTTACGGACTTTCCAGAATTTCTACGAAAGAAAGAAGAAACACTAAAACTTAACCAAATGTGGAACACGAATAACACGATCCTCAAAACCGCAAGAAATATCCCATTGAGTACAGAGAAAGTTCAGATTAGCCATGTGCTGCGAAGCCTCGCCCCTCCCCTAGCACAACCACTCTCACATAAATACAACTTGCGGTCGGGAACGCGTCAGTCTGCTACCAGAATCGGTCATGCAAGCACCTCTGAAGATGCTAGCCACGCGTGCTACCGATTACCGAAACGTCGGGAAGAAATTCCAACTTACGACGGCCATTAAGCCCGAATGAAAACACTTTATCGACAAACCTTCTTATTTCTGAATTAAAACAAAAATGTTGCGATCCAAACAATACAATTTTTATTTGAAATGAATGTCCTCCTTAATGAAATCGCTGACTTTTTCTCCAACCATCATACAGGGTGCGTTGGGGTGGTTGGCTACCAAAAAGGGGAAAATGCTAGCATCAGCTACCCGTAAATTCTTGATACCATGTACTCTACATCTTGAGTCTACTACAGCCCCTTTAGCTGGATCTGGACCCATGGGATTTGAACCTAAAAAAAAAAATATTTATACTGCTAAGAGCTTTGAATATAACAATAAAGAAAAACTTCAAATTTTTCTATGTTTGATTTCAATCAATCATTTTGGATCGCCCCAACTTCATACTTTCCACTAATGCAAGATTGGAAGTTGAAAAGTTGGGTATCTTTCAAACATTTGGAGTATCCAAAATTGGTTTTTACTTTACCTTGAAAATGGTTGTCAGGAGTAGAAGTATGTCTAATATAACAGAACCAATATTTTTTGGATAAATATTTATGGCCATTACATGCTGGTAGAGGCCTATTGATGAATTTTGTGTCTACACTTTTGAAGGGTGGGGTTTCAATGAGTTTTAAAGCCAATTTTACTCCTCTGTAGAGTTCTTCTAAATCTTCTGGGTCCGAAAGTTGACTTAAAGAGAAATAGGGTTAGAATAATTATTATTTCTGTTGATACATATACTATTTAGGATTTCTTACTTTGGATCAATCAAAGGATAATCATAAGGATCATTACTTTTTAGCCTTATAGTACCAGTAGATTTTGAATAAAGCAATATAGTTTGGAACGTAAACACTCTAGAACCATCGCCGGTTCCATTCCAGATAGCATTCCAAGTTTCATCATTATAATAGAAAGTTTTTCTGTAAGTCTCTGTTGGGTCCATGTAAGTATGTTCTATTTCAATTTCTGGATGAGGTGAATCCTGAAATAGTAAAAAAATGTGAATGGTGAACTTGAAAATGCTCACCTAAGTACAAAGAATGGCAGCACTTGGTACAACGGGAGCAAAAAGAAACACACCACTGGCCGCCTTAGAGGTTACCTATGCTGAATCTGCTTCCAAAAGGTAGAGTTGTTTGTAAGAGGCACAGCTGCAAAGGGAGCCCTTAGCTCTTAGACCAAGAGGATCCAAAATGTGGAAGGAACCGATCATGAATTCTGGACAATACTTAAACGGATACAGCCAAAATGATAGACCACCAAGAGGCCGAAGGCAACGAACTACATAGTGGCCCAATATTATTTCGACGTCAGCATAAAGGAGCGCTGAGTCTACTAAAATCACATAAAGTGACATCAAAAATATTGATGAGCTGCCGGAAAACGCTGTCCCGGATCAGGATCCATTAGTATCGAAGAGAAAGAAATGGCAGATAGACTGGCAAAGCTGGGAATGAAAAAGGACCAATCTGAAACAGACGACTCATCACAACCAACGATCAAACTGTTGATGGATTTAGTAGAAAAAACATGCACAGCAGGAGATGGAGCAGTCGCAATGACTGCGTAATATCATGATTTCTGTGGCCGTACGTACGTGGATATAGGGAAAACCAGAAAATTATCAAAATAAATAAATAAATAAAAAATCGATAAGCACCTTAGTAGGGGCAGTCACATGCTACTGTGAAGCTCCATACGTGGGACCGATGAACTATGTCAAGAATGCTTTGAGGAGGAAGAAACAATAGAGCACTTACTATGTCACTCCCGAGCCTTGCAGTGAAAACGCCTACACTACCTGGGACAAAGTTTCTTGGGGGGCTTGGAAGATGTGGGAAAGATAGGGACAATTGAAATACTGAACCTCCTAAAAACCATGCTCTGGCACAAAATGAAGAAAGGAGGAATAGGTTGAATATTTGAAAGGGAACCACCATGAAGAAGGGAACCAATAGGCCTCCGAGTGTAAGCCCTAGAGTTGTAGAGTGAATCACAATACATATTGTGAACTTATATTGATCATTATTTTCCGAGCGCCAAGGTCCGCAGCAAATTTTATTATTTTGACCTTGAAAGTGGACATTCTAAAATGTCTTGAGCTTACCTTATTTAAACGTGAAAATATCAAAGCATCACTTCCTGAAGCAGCCAGTAATCCATAACCTTTGACATATTCCTTTAATTTTTTCCGTTGGCTTTTTATCACGTTTGGGTCCGTATAGTTGGTGATAAAATACAATCCATACATTCCAGGTTGATCTCTAAACTTACTGCCAACCTCTAAATCATGAATAACAGGAATATCGACTTCATCCAAATGATCTTTAGGTCCAATGCCACTCTGGAGCAATATTTGAGCTGACCCAATAGTACCAGCACTAAGTATAACTTCTTTGGTAGCTGTAGCTGTATAAAGTTGACCATTTTTGCTAAATTCAACTCCGTAAGCTGTTTTTGTTACGTTATTTATGAGGATTTTTGTTGCGTGGCTGTGCGTGGAAATATTCAGATTTGGTCTGTGTAGAATGGGTTCTATGTAGGCTCTACCAGCATCCCAGCGTTGGCCCTTTTTATGGACTGCTTGAGATTTCGAAGCTCCAAAAGGACTGCAGCCATTGTAGTCTACGGATTTGTAGCCTGAGCTTTTCGCGGCTTTTATGAAAAGATCGGTGAAATGTCTAAAAGTTAAAAATGATGTAGATTTCTATAGTAGTTAGTTTTAAAAAAATATATATATGTATATTGTCAACTGGTCTATAAATAAAACCACTCTGTATATCAAAGACCCATTATTTAAAACTAGAACACGGTTTATCAGCAGTTTAAGCAGGTCAACGCGTAAACTAATGTTTAGACGAAATGGATATAAAAACCGATGCAACTCATGGTATCGGCACCCCTTTGGGTTCCTCTCGTCAGGGTGTCCTTACCCAAAAGAAGCAGTAGCTACACTTCTCTTTAGTGGTGATCGTTATCCACTTGCTACAATCTTCTCTTTTTTCGAAATCAATAGAGAGGGGATGGCAATAGAGATAGAGAAAGTATCCCTATTCGTTATAGAGTCCCAGTGCAGGGTCGCCTTATCCCAGAGAGTCTTAGAGCAATCCTCTTCAGGGTCGCCCTACCCCAGAGAGTCTTGCCCTTCAGGGCATCGCCGCCTATACGTGCGAGAACCAGTTGCATCCCCGTATATGTACGAAGAGCCCCGAACGTGAAAATCATGTGACGCACCTACGTAGTGCCCCTTTGGTGATGTACCCACTAGCAGACAATATACGTTAAGCTCCTTTTTGTAGTTGTGTGTTTTCCTGAAGAGTAACCAACCCCCAACCTGAGGTCCTACCCACATTAGCCGCGAGGCGTGTGACAATATCTATAATTTTGCAAAAGTATATGTGCCTTTAAAAATTTACATCGTAGAGTAGGAGAAAGGGGGGATCAGAGGTTCTAATGTAATGTGACGAATTGATTCAGATTTTTTCTAGTAGAAGTAGAACCGTTAAGTGTAGAAGTTGATCATTTATATTTTGCGCTTTTCCTTGACCTATATCATGATGTGAGGCAATACCAACAAGCAAAAGCAGAAGCTCGAAAGCAAACGCGAGCATTAAAGAACCTTTCGGAAACTCAATGGTGGATAACAAAATCAAAAGAAATGTGGCAACTAGCTGAATCCAACAGCACCAGGGCCACTTAGATGTTAGATACTGACCAAACCCTCAAGGACTCAATCCCTTATGATCCACAGATGGTACAAGCTTGCCTAAAGATAGTTCTTCCAATAATTCTCGTTAGAAGAAACACTTTCAGACTAATTTGCAGACAACTCTAAATTAATAATGACATCTTCAACGAAATTCCACAGAAACCAATACTACAAGAACTGAGCGAGGTTCCCAGATTAGAGGAGGCTGAAAAGGCAATCAGACAACTAAAGAACAATGAGTCAGCTAGTAATAATATTATTGAATCGTCCAGTCCCAACTGCCGAATAGAACCTCCGAGAGACACAGTGTGGCGTTCGACCCAAACAAAGTACAGATGACATGATTTTCAGTGCAAGACAAATGCAAGAGAAATCCAGAAAACTAAGGGTAAGCACATAGTGGAGCGACGAGCAAAGTAGTGAGCAGTGAGGAGAGCAAAGCAGCGAAAACTGACACACGAGATTAAATTGTTTGACACATAGTGAAGAGCAGTGCGGAGATTTAGCAGCGCTGTTAATATCGAGCAAAGCGACGCGTTCAAGCAAGTTTAATTTTTCTACTTTGCTCGTTTGTCTCTGTGTTGTAAAAATGGACGTTGAACAATTAATAAGTAGTATTTTTGTTAAAAATCCATTGTGGGGCCAAAAAGATCCCGAACATCATAACCGATACATTTTAGATAAGTGATAAGTTGTGGAATGATGTAGCAGGAGAAATGAAGTCAACAATTAAGTGAAAAATGTATTATATTATTAATTGATTGCTGCTGGACCAATTGGGTTTATGTTAAAGTTGGTCCATTTTTTTACCAATCTTTGTTCCAAAATGTAATCAAAGGTTTTAATATTCATTCGAAGATAAGAGTGAAATTTTTCTAGATGTTGCTGTAATTCCTCATATAAATGGTGATATTCACCTAATCGAAGTCTGCTTCTGTTTATATGGTGTGCACTACATCTTCTTTTCTTTCTGTGTGTGTTCATTAAATACCAAATTTTTAAAGACGACGTTTCAGTTTAAACCAAATTATTCATTTTTATCTTTTTCACTCGAGTATTAACTCGCCACTATGTGCATACAATTCTTTCATCCACTCTCTGCTCACTTGACGCTCTGCTCTTCGCGCTACCCGCTGCTCTGCTTACCGCTTCACTATGTGCTTAGCCTAAATCGCTCTCCATACATGGCGTTCATAAATTTAGTGAAAGCATTTGATTCGGTCAACAGAGAAGCTCTTTGGAAAAGATTGGGTGTCCGCATCCAGATACAAAGCCTGCTGCATCATAATATGAATGCAACCATCTTAAGAAACGATGGACAAGGAGAGTCTTTGGCTGAGTGCGGCTTTGCACTCTACGGAGCGGAATGGCATGAGCATAGATATCGGGACGTCATACGTGGTCATAAGCCCAACGCAGAAGAGAACACTCTGAGCGCTAAAACGAACAGGATCTTATCGTTTCCAGCGCGCTCAGAGCTTACAGAGTGTAAAGCTGAACCCAGCCTTCCTAAATTAGAGCGACGCTGATACGTGACACCGCATGAATGATCAAGAGAACAGAGGAAGAGACAATGCTGCCAGAGGCTCGGTGGCCAATACTGTAGCTCCATAATTGGTTTATATAGCTATCAGAAAACGCTCAATCGGCGACAATAAGAGTAGAATAAAGGATAATCATACTCGGGCAGGACTAAAATCAATATAGATTTCATCAAGGCACTGTGAATAATTCTCACCTATTCGTAGGGAAGTACTCCACACTAACAGGTCCCTTATATCCATGGTACGCAAAATCAACTTTAACATCATCCACGTTTTTTTTGAAACGTTCCAATTTTTTAAAATATGGCAACACTTCCTCATAGGACCATCCAGGGTTATCTATAGCCATTTTATCGTAATTATCTGAAAACCCATGGGAATAAACCATACCATTGACCAGGGAGGAACCTCCAATGCCTTTACCACGGCTGTAAGGACACCTCTGGTCAATCATACCTGAAAATCTCGTATCATGATATATTTTTTTTAAATTCATTTGTCGAAATTCTTACCCAGGCAACTGGTGGTTTGTGGTACCGTCCTGTAAAACCAATTAAATTCATTCAATAGTAATACATCTCCACATTTAGCGGGAATTCTAACAAAATCATTTGCAAATCCACCAGCTTCCACTAAAAGTACCGTAAAGTTTTTCATTTCGGTTAGCCTATTGGCTATAACTGATCCTGCTGAACCTGATCCGATTATTATAAAGTCAAATGTTCCATAATCTAAAGAAGGAATAACTTTTTTTAGAAATTATCAGAGATTTTTTCAGTACTTACCTTTTATATTATTATTTGTTGGTCTATATTGACTGGCATCACTGGGATAATGAAATTTTTGGATCAATTTTTCATTTGCATCAATTATATTTTCATAATATTGGATTTTTCTTTCATTCTTTGAACATTTCACCAACAGGAAAAGTTTTATCAAAATAAAAAATATAACTAAAGGAAATTTTAAAAGCATTCTAAGCGTCTATTCTGAATGATACCTTGCTGATAAATGGTTTGAAAGTTTCAACATAAATTTGCTTTTATAATAATTTTCTAGTAAAAATAATAATTAATTTTAAGTAGGTAAGTGATAAAATGTTAAGTTTTTTTCTGGGATTTTTTTTTTTATAAATTGATAATGCAAGCTGATGATGATATTATTCTTAATTGGGGAAAAAATGGGTTGGGTATCTCAGAATTTGACATTGTAAAGCTGTGGTGAATTTATCAAGAGAAAAGATTTAATTGAATTGATGGATGGTGAGAATTTCACCCTATTAGAAGCTTCAGTAGACTAGTTGAACTCTACCTTCCCTAAGTGCCGGTATTATAAAGCCTGACTGACTGAAGGTTGAGTTTCAACCAGCGGTCGAATTGACACATCCGTATGATTTTATACGAACATTCCAGTTCAATCGCTGGTTGAAATTCAATCCCTTAATAGAAAGAAAAATACAAAAAAAAAATTGTTGAGGAATCCCTTTGTTTCGTTTATTTTTAATTTTAGAAGTGCGTACAAAACTGCTGATTAGGATATTGTATTACTTACATAAATTATCGGTAATTTTCATTCACAATAAAACACACAAGTGGAAAATTGGTTCCAGTATTAATTGCTGTTAAATTTGCGCTCCTGCGTTTTCAAAAAGTACCGTAGAATTTGACGTTTTTATCTCGGATAATTAATGAGTCAGTGATGACTGTAGTCTTTCTTTTATGCGCTAATTCAGAAATTATTGAACTGGTTCTGGTTTTTGTGCTGTAGATCCTACACTGCACTGACGAGGTGCAATAATACCGGATCGCGGCTGTAGTTGGTTCCGCAGCAAAGACCGGGTACCGGTTTGCCCTGATTTGACTCTAGTATACGGGGCGTTTCTGTCAAAAACCGGAAGCTCAAGTCCTCGGACATCTTGTTTCTTCAAGACCGACTTCATGCGATAAACATTTTCACTACTATCTCACATTTGAAGTTTTGAATAAATCAGTTTAAAAAATAGAGCCTTCTATGACTTTATTGCCTTTTATGGAAATTGGAAACTCAAGTAATATTAATTCTATTTTATGGAATCTTTTCACAAGTTGATTTTATTAGTATATTATCACGGCTCTGGTGTACGTGACAAAAATCTTGGGTTCGTTTATTCCAAAATCAAAGTCCAACTAACACAACAATAATTTGTTCCACGTTACTACACACTCTGATTCTAATTACTTCACTAATTAACTCAAACAACTTAACTCTTTACAAGTCACACAATAATCACCATCTAAACAATATCACAGCCAATCTTAAACTTTAAAACTACTAACTAATACCGGCCTTTATTTATCTCTTTGCCCGAATGGGCAGTATTTTCTAGATTTCAAGTTAGATTCTGTACACCATGGCAAGAGCGCATCGCGGCACTGCCCTCCTCTTAAGGTTGATCGTCCCGATCCACTTCACGCCCATGATATTTCGTCAATCTGTTCAGATGTACAACTTTCATCTTAATCCTGGTGTTGCGCTGAACTCGATAAACCAAATTATTAATCCTCTTGATTATTCTGTAGGGTCCTTCCCATGCTGAAGTCAATTTCGGCGACACCCCTTTTGTTCTTGTTGGATTATACAGCCACACCAAATCACCTTTTTGGCTTTCAAGTCAAATATTTGATCACTGGCCCGCTGGATATGCTCCCGAGCAAAATTATGTATTCTCAGAAGTCGTGCCCTTACTTCGTCGGCATAATCTCGAATTTCTTTTTGTTCTTCTTCAGGTATTCCAAACATCAGATCGCAAGGTATAACCTGAGTTCCCTTCCAAAAACGATTCTAGCTGGACTTTCACCTGTTGACTCGTGAACAGCTGCTCTGTAAGCATAGACTCTGTGAGCCATTAACACGTTCGCTGCTCATACCGACGCAGTGTCGGTATGGGCATTCCAACAGCTGTGCCCGCACCGCATACGTGTCGGTAGGTCTATTAAACAGTCTGTCATTCAGCGGTTTCTCTAGTTACATTGTGTTTTTGTTGGGGGCACCTTTGAACGACTTAAGAGCGCGTTTTTTCACATGGTCACGTGCTAAGTTTTACGGTAGTGTGTGTGCCGCAAATGAGCACCGGTGAATCAAACGCCCTATATGATCGGCAGCGAACGTGTTAAAAATAGAGGCAAATGTTTGTACCAATCTCGCTGATTCTTTGCGACCACTTTTGTCAGTTGTTCCTATGCTCTTATTAAATCGTTCTACCATGCCGTCAGACTGTGGATATGAAGGTGTTGTCCTTGTCTTACAAATTCCCATGATCTCACAAATTCTTAAAGATGGCAGATTCGAAGTTTCGTCCCTGATCTGAATGCATTTCTACTGGCACACTATGACGACTGAAAACTTCGTGAAAACTTCTGACCATTTACTGAAGTAATCCATGATAACCAAGATGTATTTGTTATCTACCACGCTCTGACTCAGGGAACGGTCCGTCAACATTTATGGCTATTCTTTGAAATGGGAGACCGACGTTGTACTGTTTCATGGGCCCCGAGATCTTAGTTTAGGGCTTTTACCGATAGCACAGATATCGCATTTTCAGCACCAGTTTTTAACGTCTTCATGATAGTGAACCCAGTAAAATGGTTCCCGAATTTTGTTGACTCCAAAATGCGCCCCTGATGTTCCGTCCTGTGTTTCTTCTAATACATCGTCTACCCGATGCTTTCGAATAACCAGTTGGCTCTTAGCAGATTTCCCATCGGCACTTTCCCAAACTCTTTTTAGTAAACCATTTTCTTCGGCTCGAGAGTTCCACTGAGCCCACAACGCTTTGTAAAGCAAACTCTTGTTCGACACTTCCCTCCATTCTGGCCTACATTCATCATTTTCTTTAAGATGAAAAATTTGCTGGATATCCTGGCCTGCCTCTTGATTTTCTCTCATTTGTTTGGTAGTCCATTTATCATCAACGATAAAACCTGTTCTTCTCACAGATGAACAGTGTTTTTCTCAGGCATATCGATTCTTTGACGAAGCTTGCACTCTTCTTTGCATAATCGTCTAGAAAGAGCGTCAGCATTTTCATGCAGGTTTCCAGGTCGATGTTTAGGGCTGGCGTCTCTAGATCTCCAAAAGCGTTGGGAACGATCCCTAGATGGAAAGGACATCAATAGTCTATAATCCCATTGCATATGTCCAAGCTTATGGTACCGGTAACATTTTACTCAGTTTCTCGGTGCTGGTATTTGTTTGAAGTTGTTTTCCATTAGTCTAACTTCTAGTAATAGTTTCTTCATGAAATTTTTCATGACCTTCTCGAAGCTACGATTGACGATTGTGTATCCTTTGAGTCTTTAATGGATACTGCTCGTATTCTGGGTCGTGAAGCATCATAGAATATTTCCAGTTCCAGTTCTCGAACAAGGGCTTCGCTATTGTTTCTGAACTTAGACAATCTCAGGTTTTCCTGGATCTTGGAATCTCTGAGACAATCAATAAACGCAGATACTGCCGTCCATTCCTGCCACAGCTGCAGGAAACGCCAAACTCACTAGCCTTTCAACTTCCGATCCGAAATCTTGTGAACTCTCGCCGAATTTTTGAATTCTTGATTTAACTTGACTTCTAAATACTTCTTGTAATGGCTTCCGAAGCGCATTTCTAACTACTGACTTAGATGCTGGTAATTCTGTTGATAGGTTGAAGGAATAGACTAAAGAAGGTCTAAGGCAGGTCCTCGTGGAGCCACTATCAGTGCTCTTCTTGATCGTTCCATCCGTTGGTATTCAGCAACTTTATTGTCGGATATACATGGTCCAGGACGTAGTACCGTCAAAAGTTAATGGTTTTATCTTCATACTAGAGAATGCTCCAACACTACCTGGATCGATGGACTGTATTTCTAATTTATTCACCTTATCTTCAAGTGCTCTTAAACTTGGTCCTCAACTTCTTGTCAAAATTACATCGTCTTTAACTTCTTGAACATTGTATTTCAATTTTTGAACATCGTCTTTAACTTCGGCTTTCACTTCCCCAATCTTTTGTTCCATGTTAGTGACATATTTTTGTATGGTTTGAACTGTAGATGTCCAAGGACGTCTTGACGTTCTTGTTGCCGCCTAGCCTCTTCTTGTTATTTTCCTTTTTGTCGCTTGGCCGCTCTGTCTTGTTTTTCTTGTTGTCGTTTACCTTCTTCTTCTTGTTTTTTTTTTGTCGTTTAGCCTCTTCTTGTTGTGGTCCAGCTTCTTTTTCTTGTTTTTCATTTTGTCGCCTAGCCTCTTCGTCTTGTTTTTCTTGTTGTCGTCTAGCTTCTTCTTCTTGTTTTTCTTTTTGTCGTTTAGCTTCTTCTTCATATTTTCCTTTTTGTCGCCTGGCCTCTTCGTCTTGTTTTTCTTGTTGTCGTTTGGTCTCTTGAAGTTCCAACATTTTGCGCAGAAGTTTTTCAATTTTTTTGTTCTTCCATTTTTGTTTGTAGTCTCGTAATAGGCATATACAGAATGTTCTGGAATTTCCCTCAAACTTTTTTCAAATATCTTTCCTGCTCTTTCATTGGAGTTCCAAACACATTGGTGAAGTCACAAATTGGATAACTTGCTTCATTCTCGAATGGATTGTTCTAGAATTTTCTCGAAATATTTTCTGAATGTCGATTGATATAGCAAACACGTCGGTGAAGGCAAAAATTCGATATCTCCGTTGGTTTCCTGACAGAATTTTCTAGAACTTACTTGAAAATTCACTATCACAGTCGAAATCGGGTATACGGTCACTTCCGGGGTAATTTTCATAATCGGTAAGCCTTCGTTTAGTGATTGTAGCTGCTTGCACTGACTAACTGTCCTAGTGTCTACTCAATGTCCACACAATTCTGCAATCGGATTGCACTTTGCAGTCCTCGAATTATATCACTTCTGACACCACGGCTAATATATGTCAAATTTCGAGTGAGCGTTCGGATAGAATTTGTGTTGCTCGACACTTTGGTTATATTCCAGGTATTTTTTAGATCTGAAGAAACTAA